TCATTAAAGAAGAACCCGTCCAGAAGACCTATACAATTTTTTTCCTTTTGGTTTTTTACCTGGATTACTGAGATGCATCTAAACAGGAGGAAGGTTAGACTGAGACAGAAACACTGTAAAATTATACCTGGCTGCTGTCTGAACTGACAAATTGTCATAGTTACTAATATTTATTTGACTCTTTTATTGTTGTTACTGTTTTATTGTTTATTCATTATTAGCCTTATGTTACAYGTTGGAAATGTATCATATAAAAAAAGCAAATTATCATTAATGTAATCTGATTACATTGCCTAATAATTGATAATAAACTCGAGCAGATAATGGTGTTATCTAGAAATAAATTAAGCCTGTCTTTTACTTTAGTTTAACACCCAGCAAGACTTTACTTGTTGATTTCTAATTTTCAAAAAAAGCAACAGATAGAAAAATTAATACTGGAAATATTTTTTAATTCACTGTAACAAATATTGAATAAGATTTTTGTAATCAACGCAGGAAACATGATGACTGTCTGTTTAAAACCTGAAAACATTACTGAGTAAAAACAGGCTCCTCTTCTAAAAAAAWTTCTTTTAGTACAACTCTTTTTAAAGTGGGGTTCTGTGGCATTGTCCTGAASTATTAATATCTTATTGTTTAAATGATTCCAAACCAGTTTTCTAACTAAAATTATGTCGGCCTTGTTTTCAGCCATTCTTGGTCATATTTTACTGTAGAAAGGTGCTTCTCAAGCAACAATTTTGAATGTTTCACCACCGTGCTGCACAGTCTGCAAATCTATTTTCATCTTTAGGAAACAGACTTGCATGAATTTTAACAGAAAATTTTGATGTGATCGTCTGACATCAGACATGTTTTCATCTTGCAGGCTCATCAAATTCGCAGGAAAGTTGTGTACATTGTTTAAAATTGCAAGTGTTAGCGTAATTTGTGTGGATTGTATTAGTACCCTTTCCCGGAAGCATTGTTTCCTGTATGTTTTAACCCAGTAGGGTTGTAAATCAGATACTTTAGTTTCAGGTAATCTTCCTGTTAACTTGTGTTTCCATCCTGTCCTTTGAACCTCTCAGCTGGTTGAGGCAGATGAATTCTGTTCTGTGATGAAACAAGTTTTCCCTCACTGTCACCTTGTGCTTTCTCAGGATGTCGAACATAGTGAAACGTCATTTCACAAATTTGTAGCATTTTCCTGCATGTAAATAATCATTTCTGATTAGATTTCACTTGTTCCTATGACAACGGCTCAGGAAGGAAGAAAAACCTCCACTTTGACTTCA